AAATATGGCATAATTATACTTTATACAGAAAGGGCAGACTGAAACAGGAAAGGGAGCTTTCTTATGCACGTACTAAAGGGAAATGACAGTGACTAAAATTTGAAAGTATTAGTAACTTAGTAATTTAGTGCCTTGCAACTAAAACAATGAAAAGCGATAACATTTCCCCTTTCTTTTAGTTCGTGTTGTACTGCAGATTGTAACTATGACCCTTTGGGCTGGGTTGGATCCCCTGCAAGTAGGGCTGACTGGACACTGCAGTACACGAGGTGACGGAGTATGTTCTACTCCCCAAGGTCCATTAGACTTTTCAGCTACTGGCGGAAGGCAGGAGCACGATCCGCGTCAGTTAGATGAAAGCAGAAACAGTAACTTCAGCGAGACAAGCTCTGTAGAGGGAGGTGATATGTTTTCATTAGACCAACTGATACAGTAGAAAAAAAGCAGACCAGCTTTCAGGAACACAAACCCTCCTTCACTAAGCCCAGCATCACTGGGCAAAGGGGAGGCAGAACAATAGCTCCCTTCTCTTAGGAAGGTTAACCATTGCTATGGGACGAGTCTGGCAAAGATTTTATACTGTCTGAATCCAGCTATATTTTTTGCATGGCGTTTATATTTTCAATAGATATATATCTTATTAAAAGCTAGTTTAAACTCCATTTGTCAACTACTGTAGCATAGCAAGAACGCATACAATTCAGCTCTTGCATTCTTTGCAACACCTGCCTGGAGATAAACCCACACCACTCCCCACTGCTGAGCACAGGTCTTTTTGGTAGGATGCTTCTGTGTCTTGGAGTAGGATTTCTGATTACCCAAGATTATTATCAGCTCCTGCTGATAGTTTTTCACTTCATGTTCTTAACCTTCCGCGGCTGACATCCCCATCGTCTTTGCCACAACTGAGCTGTCAAATGGAAGGCTAAGAATGCCATCAGAGAGAAAGCACCAGCGGAAGAGAGTGAATTTGTATGGAGCAGAAAGCTGGTACTTTTGTGCATCTATCCAATTATAACAGCAGCAAAACAAACAAACAAACAAGTATCTTTACAGTTAGAAGAGTCAAATTCTTGTGCAAAACAAAACATATCTTCACTATATACCCAGTCTACCTTTCATTTACTCAACGTTCCTTTTTTGTTTTCTCATTAAACGGGGAAGTTGGGTTGTGAATGTCTAACACAAAATTCTAAGAGGAAAAAACTTGTAACACAAGCAAACACCTCAGTCTGCAATCCAAACTCCGCTTCTTTTAAAATCCAGGTAAGACACCAGCTGTGTAACTGGGAGCAAAACTGACATCTTGAGAGAAAAATATCTTATTATGAAAGGTGATTTGAGGGACACTAAGGCCTGCTCTGTGCATCCCCTTGAACTGCAAGCCTCACATTTGTTGCTAAAAGCAAGAAGATAAAAAGCTCCCTTGCTTACCAGAGTGAGCTTTTTTCCTTTCCTAATCACACCGGTGCATTTCAGGCTAGATACTTCTAAACCACTGCTGAATACATTAACAGTATGCCAGTGTTTAGCAGTGCAGTATTGCTCAAGAACAAGTTCCTTCTCAGCAACGCAACTGTATAAATATATACAGCCAGTTATGAAATCCATCATTACATTCTGATAGATTGTCCAGGTGTGACAAACTAGACAGGCGTCACACATTAGCTATACTCCAAAATGTTAATAAAGCACTTTTCTGAAGTTCCTATTATATAAGACATTATAAAAATGAGGTTTTTACCTTAATACTTAACCAGCATTGACTACCACTGATACTTTTTTAAAAGTTTAATAAAAACTATGGGTAGCCCAAACAAGGCTTTAATATTGCTTTAGCCCCAGGCCATCACTGGGCATCCATTTCACAAAATGAGACAGAGGCACAACACATTCCTGCTGAATTGCAGCTCTGTCTTGAAGCTAAGCTTCCTGCGAGACAAACCTCCTTTTCATACATGTAACAGCAGCAAAGCACTCTCCTTCAACCTCAAGCCTGATAGTAGCTGTTCACCCCTCAACAGGAAAATTACTCTGGCACAGTGCCCCCAGAGCCTGCAAGAACTCAGCAAGTTGTACAAAACCAGATGCAAAAATCTGTCAAACGAGTGCCAAGTTACCAAGTTAAAGGTAACACAAAGCTTTGAACTGACTGAAGGCATACTTCCTGTTCCTGTGGGGAAAACGAGAAAACCTCATGTATGTTGTTCTAAAGTGCTTTCAGGGACAAGGCTAGTAAAGCTAACTTACCACCAGTCACTCATATTTTATTCAGAATCATCTGGATCTGCTCCAATTTTTAAATGCCACCCTGTTATCTACACTAGATTTTCCACTGGGACTGCATCAATGGCAGCTTTTTAAAGTAAAGAATGCTTTAAGCAGCAAAGCACTCAATGGCAGAAAAGGACCAAGGTCCATCTGGTTACCACGGTTTAGTTATACATAGAATATGAAGTAAAATGAAAAGCAGAAAGTAAACACCAGGGTTTGTACAGTACAGCTCCAATTGCGACAGCACATACAGGGTGATGACTACATATTGTTAAAGATGCCAAGTCCCCGATTCCTCTTTTAGGAAAGCCCAAAACTGAATGAAATAAACATAATTAGCAGGAAAACAGATTAAAGCACTGTAGTAAAAAACTAGAATAAGCAAGTTCCCACCAGGTAACTATCAGTAATTTTTATAAGACTCCAATTTTACCTCAGTATTTAAAAGTTTCTTCATTTGTGTCATGAGTTCAGCCACAAAATGTGCAAACACCTTAAAATATTTATATAGACAGAAATCCAAGTGACACCATTTTGTCTTATACACACCTAGATCCCAAAGCGTATGCAATTCAGGCAAAAGATGGAGAAAGACAAGAACTGTTCTCCCTTGCAATAAGCAGACATCAGTCAAGTGATTAAAAGTTTATTCCCACCCTACACATGGTATCCAAAGAAACAATACATACAGAGATCTATTTATCCCACGATTACACAAGCCTGCTGTATTTAATATTTTGAATCATATGACAAAGTTCAAGATACTTTATTTGTTAGATACAACAGGTAAATCTCAAAGGAGAGTTCTTGAACGTATGAAAAAAAATCACGTCACTTAAGTGACCTCCCACGACTTACACATACCAGCAACAGACTGTATTCATAATGCATTGTTTTAATGATACTGTGAACCTTCTCTTGCAGATCTGCGCCTCTCCTTAAGGAGTCTATTTTCAGACATGGTTGGTTTGTTCATTCTATCATTTATATGTTTACATTAGTCTCACCCCAGATATTGTTGTCATAGAGGCTTCCAATTCAGTTGTTGTCGTCTTCTAACCATAAGTCTTTGCGCTCTGTCTACATTTTAGAAGAACTTGTGCACAGCACAAATTAACGCAAATGGCTTTCTCAGTGTATGTACTGAAGGATATGCATCCACAGATTGACTGTCTGAACACATCTTCCAGCAGTCCAGGCTGTATTTTTAAACTTATTATATAGATTTATAAAAACATATACAAAAAATTATCCTTGGACCAGTACAATGTCTAAGACACAGTTGGTAAAGGTGGAAAATTATTCAGGTATTTGTAACTCTGAAATGATTATTTCATTTTAGTATTACAGTGTAAACTTACGTTACACAGAGAAATAACTTTTTCTTAAATCAAGAACTCTGTAACAGAATAAATAAATTACAAGTTTGAGAAGATCTACATTGTTTTCTACACAAAGATTTGTTACATATATTGTAAAAAGCTTAGAGGAACTAAGTATCATTTCTGCCGGTGGTTGTAAAACTTAAATACCTGCTTTTGTTCACATAATTCCCCTCTTTAAATCTACTAGAGGTAGATGAAGATAAAACGAACCCCAAAATGTAAGGATTTAGATACTGCAAACAAATTCTAGATTTGCAGGGTTAGTGAACATATGTTCTCACCAGATTTAGTGAAAGCAGTTATTTTTTCTTTCTTTTTTTAAATAGAACAGCACTGAACTTCTTCCTTCCCCGTTGTCAAAATCAGTGCTTGATACTGTCATGAAGTAATTTTCAAAGCTTTCCTGAATTAGAGCAGAAGCAGGTCCCACCCCGCACCCTTCAGTCACTCCAATACATTTCCAGGGACTGCCTGCTGAGGAATCGCTGCCCACCCTGCACTGCCCAGACTGACCTTGGGCCTCCCCCGACACCATGACAGCAGCCAAACCTGCAGATCCCACCTGAGGTGACTCTTGGGGAAAGGTGCAGGAGCAAGGCAGGTGGGGCTGAAGGCAGGAGAGAGAACTGGGCGACATTCATGTGCGTTACAGATGGTGAGTTTTCCCAAGATTTCTCCAAAAATATTTTTAGCATGGGTGTCTGCGTACAAAGGCTGAAAAATATTTGGTTATTACCAGAAAATCAGAGATTTTATTAGGCCCACGAGTATTTACAAGATCTTATGTAAAGCCTTGGTTTTGGCATAGAGAAAATTCTAAAGCGGTAACAGAATTTTCTGAAATGCAAGTGACTTCATTAATGTCCTGATGGACCAAAAGAAAAATTTAAGGTGAACTGTTTAGATCTGATTTCCTACTTTTCTATAGCTTGGCCTGTTGCTTCAAGTTTTCCAGTGTTCCCTCTAGTCTCTCTCCACCTGTAATTTTATCTACTTTCTTGGGCCAAACCCAATGTGTTTTAGTCAAACATACATAAGAAAGCATACAAGAAATAGGAATTAGCTTGGCGGCCCTTTTTAATACTGAACAAAAAAGTATGTTTCCTCTTCACTGTTCACCAGACAAAAAGGAGGAAGCATCATTACATACCAGAACATCTGAATAAAAGTGCCTCCAAGTTTCTTCATAACAGCAATACTGGCATGATCACAAGGACAGGATTCCTTTTCTTTCTCTGTATTATAATAGTAACCATCACGATCTCATTTGTGATGCAAAAAATTATAATTACTTCAGTACAATTTCCACAGCAATTTGAAGTGTGCCTTTTTCTCTTTTAAGTTACCATTTAAATTTAGTGAAAACGATAGGATGGACTGCGATGCAAACCCCCAGCATTTCACATAATTCAGTGCGTTTGGTTTAGTTACAGAATAACGATCCTGGAAGTTAAACCGAAACCATAGATCTAAATGAATGAGTCAATTTTGTGCATTCTAGAATCAATGCATATTTAAATACTTGTTTTCCTTCACAATATTATTAGTTGCACCTCCTGAACCCCTTGTTTTACGGACGCTGAACCAATTTGCTCTTATTGCTTTCCTGCTCACTAAGCTTGAAGTGGGTGTAAGCTAAAATGCCCAACAATGTGCACAGAATCCCAAGGCCTTGATTAACAGACAGTGGATCCTTAAATAAGAGGCACCCTCCCAGTAGGGTGATGCAGAACTTGAAATGTCCAAACATGTTATACCTAGACATCTGTTAAGGATAATAACAAATGTCAGTATTACTTTTTGTAAAAACAAACACTTCGGAACGTCATTAATTACATTCAAAGCATGAAATGGTATGACACATTGACTTCAACTCATGTAACTTTCCCACATCTCCACGGCTATGAGAACTAGCCTCCACCTAAAGCCTTCAACCCATCACACACTACAAACTGACATGCCAACACTTCCTGAAGGTAGCCAAAATGCGGGTAAATATTCTTTGTAGGTATGAAGGTCACGTCGGTAAGTTAACTGCCATTATCTACACAAACACCAAAGAAATTGGAGACACTACAACATGAACGTGCTTTTCCAGCTTCAATCCTTAAGGTAAAGCAGGAAGGTTACCAAACAATTTCCCCACAGTAAATCAGCCCAAATGAATGCTAACATAATTCATACGGAAACAGGAGAAACAACTAATGTTACAAAGGATACGTGACAGGTGACGTATTTCCAATGATCCAGTAAATGGACAAGTTTACCATGAAGGCAATTATTCCAGACAGCAGTACCATTATCTGTGGATTAACAGACACAGTCAGTAATCTGACACCCTTTGGCCATTTGTAGATACACTCCAGGTTATTTCATTTCATTTACTTTTAAATGCAAAATATCAGGCAAGAAAAACATATGGAGAACAAAAATAGAAACAACATCAAATCAGTGCAGATGCTGGTGATACGTATAAGTACCTCAGGGTATGATCTCTGTAAACATATACTGATATAACCACAAGCCTTTTCTCCTTTACTCTCAGTGAACATTGAAGAGTGATTTGGAAAATCTGGTTACTCATACACATAGAGGTTGTATTCTTTACCTCTCAAACAAAGTCTTATTCATGGTCACAACAAAAACTCTTTTGGAAAAATATCAGTTTTATTTACGTTGAGAAATGACCCATCACTGAACAGCATGACCAGCAGCGGTAAGAATACACCACTGGCTCTTATTTTGGACAGAAGGATAAAGAGGGAAATTATAGCTCACTTCATGAAAATAAACTAACATTCTAGAGAACAGCTAACACTGGCATCCTTCCACGGAAGAGGAGTTGAAGGTGCAGAAGTGAGCACGCTTATCCCTTTTCTGAGTGGACAGTAAGAGATGGATCTAGGGCACTTGCATATTTTTTAATACACTAGGGAAAGCTTCTGGATTTTGTCAAGATCTTCCTGTTGTTCAGAAGCCCCCTCAACAGAAACAAGAATAAAGAGGTAAATTAACAGAGTCTCTCCTCTGGGAGGAAGTGAGACAGACACAATAAGGGCTTTTTCTCTCTTGCACATGCTCCTCTCATCTCATCAATAGTCAATAACTGTACAAAAAAACTGTTTCACAAAGAAACAGATCTTACTACCAAATTTAACTACATCAGTGACAATTATTTATTTAAATAAAATCAATAAAGCCTTACCACAGCAGAAAGTGTCCAGGGCCCAAATATTCCCCCTTCTCCAAAGACTGGCTCAAAGAAGGGTATGATGAACAGCAACATAGCTGAGGACATTGGTGCCTGATAGTACAGCAACTGCATAGAGTTTACCTGCAACTCATGCTGCTTAGCTCCCACCCACTAAAACAAAGAGAGAAAGCTGTTAAACATCTGGAATAAAAAACGTAAATTGAAAACCTGAGCAAAAGCAAACTGGATGCTAACACAGAGGGAGTGTCATGTGGACAATACTACATAAACAGACTGCTGAGCATCATCTTCTACCTTTGCCTTACTGGAGGCCCATGTCTTTGTCTCTTGCAAGCACACAAGCCACATGAGGAGAAAATCATATGCAGGGGCAGTGAAAAACCCCTGAGAAAACCCCCTAAACCTTCCTTTTCCCATAGCCTGTGGGTAAAATATTATACTTGAGGAAGAACAAAAAAGTAGCAGAGCTGGGAAGAAAGTGCTAGCTCCCTTTTACTCTCAAGACAAATTCCAGATCCAGTCTATGATGGAACTGAGCACCTCTGTCTAAGCAGAGATCTGCTTTTGCTCCTTTCTTCTCGTCTTCCTCAACACACAAGCTAACAAAACTAGTATTTTTTTTTTCTTTTGCCAGTTTATTCCAAATTTACTGGATTTCATTTCAATACTGACTATAATTGAGTATAACTTGGATTTTCAATGTAGCATGCTTTAAGAGACAGCACAGTTATCTATGGTTATAAAGACAGATGTTCTAGCCAAAAAGATGCATCTTTATATCATACTGAAGGATGACATTTACTTTAATAGTTCACATTAACTGGTAACATGGATTACAGCATATAAACTTGCTAAGTTTGTTTTTAAATTACAGAATAATTTCACTTAGGTACTGTCATTTCTCATCACCACTTAAATCTCTCTCCTCCTCCTCCTCCTGCCCCAAAACAGGACAAGAGACTAGTATTTATCATCTTGCACACAATGGGTTAAAGAGCCTCACTTCTTTTGGAAGCACAGCACACCTGTAACAAAGAAGTCACATTTAAATTGATGATGACTGGCACATCAACATGACAGGGGACTCTAATTTGGGAGGCTTTTACAGTCAGGGGCGATAATGAACTGGTTGTTAGGACAATGTTACAGATGAAAGGGCTAAGGCAATCCTTGGAGGTATCTATTTTTTCAACCCTAATTATAAAGATTATATTGTGCATATATATTAATGCAGTCTCTACAAAACCACCTGAGACTGTTTATAGTCGAAATTAAAGAATGCTATTAAGATGTAAATAGCTCAAAGACAAACCATGAGATTAACTGAAGGACTGGAAGATGCCCTTTCTAGGGAAAGGCTCAAATACCAGGCACTTGTATCAACAAGGAGAAAATCTGCGCTCTCCCGATCTTCACCCCTTGAAAATATGCTCATGACCACGTTAAAGCTGAAACCTCTTTCAGCAGCAAGGATAATCAACCTCTCAAAACAATTTACCAGGGGTTGTGGTGTATTATCACAATTTGGTGGTTATTTGGGTTGGGTTTGATATTTTTTTTTTTTTTTTTTTAAGGAAATAACGGAGTACGGAGGGTTTCCTGGAAGGCAGGGTGCTGTTTAAAGGTGATGTACCCAAGGGACAGCACCTTGAAGACTTAACCACCACAACACTCCCGCCAGCGCGCCCTCCCCACGCCATTACCCACCACTTGGTAGAGGGAGGTCACCAGGACGCCCAAGGTAGCGAACGCCATCCCCAGGACGCTGAACTTCACGTCGTAGTAGGAGTTGAGGAAGACGCCCAGCGTGATGGGGACC